CATTATTCACCAAATCACATTCCTCAAAATTATCTCCCATACGTTTCTTTGTTATCTTTGTCTACGGAAATACACATTTTTACTAGTTTCCTTTGTATCTAAATGAATACCCTCTAACGTTTTATGTAAACCACTCCTACTTCTTTATATATATATATATTAACCTTTTTTTGTATAAAGGTTTTGTCTGGACTAGTGCTCTTCCATAGTATTCTTACAACAGCTTTTGACTCACGGTCAAGCGATTTCTACTCGTTATTCTTCAATAATCCTGATCAACCCTGTATTATATCAATAAAGCGATAAATTTTACTCTGCGTCCTCACAACGTATATTCGACGTCTTCACAAGGTAAGCCTTTAATTAAAGTTCTGCTTGATCTTAAGGCTAAACCTTCCAAATCTAAATGACTCAATAAAGGAAAGGAATTTTTTCACATCAGTCATCTATACTCAGGTGATCAGAATCACCGACAGCTTAGCAGCGAGGCCATATACGGCTTCATTAAAACGTGTTTTTTCATTCAATTGATATCCTAGGCAAATTTTTTTCTTAGAAGGAAAAATTAAAAGTCGACTCTTACCAAAACTCAAGTACAGAAGAACACGATGTATTCGTTATAGAATAACATCTGGTTTCGGCTGTAAATGTATATAGTAAAAAAGCAGGAAAACCGAGAAGATTACAATATGTTAAAACAATCAAAGTATTTTGTTGTATAGAGTGTTTCCTAGATGATTTATCACATCATAGAAAAAAAAAAAAAAAAATAAAGTAAACCTTTTTTATACCTAAAATGATCAGTCATTTATCTAATTTTCATCTCCCCATCTGTTGATGTATTGCATGGTTTCATTATTGTAAACTAATTTATGCAAATGTCGATTTGTAAGGTTGCAAAGATCTTGATGCAGCTTTCATATATGTAAACAATCTCAAATATCATGTAAACATGCTCCCTGTACAAGTCAAGCGAAGAGTCATAAAAGGATTTCCAGATCAAACCTTCCTTCGTCTTTCCTCATTATTATCAATTTAAATTCTTCTATTTTTCAAATATTTGAACCTATTTCACTTGTCCTTCTATATTATTAACAAATTGACGACAATAAACTCGCTAACTGTTTCATTATATCGTATCCCACGTGCATAAACTAATTTTACTAATTTTTAACTTACATTACTTCTAACAAACCTTTCATGACCGTGTTACCTATCAGGTAAACTAAAATTAGAGAGTTAGAATGTCACAGGATAGATAAATATCTTGTCTACCATCTCCATTTAGAAGGTAATTTTCAGGATGCTAATGCATGAATATGTCTAGAATGCAGTTGCCTCATCAACCGAATCCGCTAAGTAATAAATGACTGGGTAAACTTCATATTAATCCACCATCTTTTCATCAGAATGTTTAAAACATCGGTTAAGAATTCGAAGGAAAAAAGCCAATAGTTCCTTAGAATCAAATGAAAGGATAAAAAATTATTACAACAAAAAATCATCACGTTCATTATTATAGTTGAGAATATGCTTCCGAATTTTTGAGTCCTTTGTCCATGTAATACAGTCCTGCAAATTTCGAGTAACCAGAAATGCAGGATCAGTTATTAATTCTATCCCAACACGTACGTGGCCTTGTTCCACAAGTTCGCTCGCATTTTGTACAGTTTCTGCCATTTCTAAACGTTTCATCACCACCTGTAATAACGGCAAAAGAGCTCAAAACAGGATATTTTTCCAAATGGACAAATTTAAAGTGCTGTTAACATTTGAAACACATAGAACGTTTGAAAAAATACAGCGGTCTTTTTTTTGAAAGAAATAGGTCTTTTTTTAATGAGATGAAATAAAAATCATAACATACCGGTAACCGTCGCCTACAAAACGAAGAAGCGGAAATTTTACTAGCACGTTCTAACGTGTCAGCAGTCGGTATCAGCCCGACGGAATACAATTTTTCCAAAAATTCTCGGACCGTTTTCAAACGAAATGGATCATTCAGTGGTAATTCCTTTAACTTCAGTGCAATTTCTCGAATCTGCAAACAAAACTATAGCAAGAAGTCACTAGTGATAGATCAGCCAATCTGTTAACAACCATACAATCCAAGCTTTTCTGAAATGAAACGAATGCAACAAGGAGTACCCGACAACGAATACCAGAGTGCGACAACGAGTACCCGGCTGCCCTTCGCACTCCTCCCATTCACTTTTTAGTTTGCATCAATCCGACTTTTCCCAATTATGACTTATTTGCCGCTATGTTACCGTCACCACGGCTATCCAAGGGAGGTTCTTTTAACTCATAATGCAAACTATTTTAGCAAAGCATATAAAACTCTTGAACTATCCAATCTTAGTGCTGTTATCCTTTTATAACATCCCGCAGTGGGTCATGCTTTTGTCCTATCGGTAGCGAAAGGTATAAAAGGAATCCGTAAGAATTAAATTTCTCATTCCTTTTGACTTATTTGATGAATACAACTGTAATATATGTGTATAAACTAACATTAGCTGCCAACGTATTGTACATCGAGTAATGCTGGCGTTTCTTGATGTGATATTTTCGTAAGATCTTCGCCTCATGAATGTTATTATCAAGTTCCCAAGAAATGAAGTCAACCTTTTTCAGCAATTTTTTCTCGTGAAACTTCAATTTACGGACCATTTCCGAAAAAACAGATACCTGTAACGAAATTTGATTCTTTTGAACAACATATAAAATGTATCCAGTTACCCAACTTTAGCAAAATTTACACGTAAACCAAAGACATTAAATCTAAATCCTCCAAGAAAACACATCGAAACATGAAATAAATGCAGGCCTAATTGTATTTTAATATAAAATCTCATAATATGAAGCAGAAACACAAGGAATGTCACCATATTCAGAGTGAACCCCATGTACAACATACAAATCAAAACCTTCCCTAACTTCGGATCAACGCTTAAAATTGAAATCACTTCCGAGCGACATCGCCATTATCAAACTTCCGCATCACGACTATTATCCTCAATGAAATCATTGCGTCCCACCACCAGTACCTGTATATTCAGAGCACCTGCTTGACAATTCTCCTTGTTGTATAATTTTCCGCACATAGAATTTCTTTCTACTCTCTCTAACACTTTAGTTCAAAAATTTGAATCTTCTTTAAAAAGAGGGATTCCGAATTTTTTTGAAATTAAATTTAAAAGACTTGTCAAAAATTTTTCTTGAATTATTATGCATGCATAAGACTTATTCTTCCACATGACTTTCTCTACAATTTGTCAATGAATAATGATGCTAAATAGCTAATATTCATAATAACGTTTTATTGAGTTATGTGAGAATTTGGGCGAACAATATGTCGCATAAGTTCCCTATGAAATGTGAAACATAGGTGGAAAAATTTATACTATTCGCAATGGAGACTTTAAACGTCTAGCAACAGAAGCCATATTAGAGAGGAGTCAGCACTGTCCTTTGAGTTATAGCTATCATCATGTCTTAATTACCGGAATAAACAGTGAAATATTCGTATATACAGCTACAGTAACAGTTACCAACCAAGCTTATCAACGTTTGTATTTAGCAACAAGAGATGTGAAATAGGCAGTTAGTGAGTTGTTATCTAGAAGTAATTCACAGTCTTCCTTTTCCTTCAACTCTTTCCAAATATATCGCATTCGGATCTGGAATGATTCCTTGTAGGCTAACTTTCGTTGTTCCAAAAAGAAAAAAAAATTACTTCCTATATGATACGTTTCTCACAATTTTATCTATTAAAATGATTACGCAATTACGCAATTATCAGTAAAAGAATTATTCGAAGCAGCTAATTATTCATTCAATCTATTGATCATTTTGTCAGTCAAGCAATGAGTAGATTTTTCAATGAGAATTAATAAGACAGAGGTGAACTTACTAAAATCCTTATTTTCAACTCATCAATCAAAGTACATCGCATTTTTGCATTCTTCATCCTTAACACTACATCATAGTTCAACCCTCCTTTTTTGACCTGTACTGCAAATGGCCAGCGGACATTCTCCTCGTCCAATATCACACAGTTCACACTATCGCATTCATCCGTAACTGTATTAATGATCCAACTGAGAAGCGTAGTTTCCGTTTGTTTTTCATCACAAATTAAATATACTAAAGCTTCGGGCAGTGTAATTTTTTGTTCCTAAAATGAAGCTCAAAAAGGAGATTTACCAGACTTTATGCATATTGAAGGTTATCTTAGTCTTATTCCCTGACTTCTAAATCTTCTCCATTTGAAACACCGAGTCTTCCAACGAAAAAAATTGCTTTGAAATAAAAAACCTTAATCCTCAGTCACTTGCACTAACCTCATCGACTCTTGCATACTGAACCAATCGACTAATCGTACTTTCTGGTACGGCAGTTATACTAATCGTATCCCAGTGAGTTAAATAAATTGGTTCAAGCGCAATTCGAAAAGCACGAGGTTCCCTGTTTCCGGATAAACGGATACATTTAAACAAATGTATCCGGAAGAATAATGACATTGGCAAATTACGGGTACAAAATATCTGTAAAGCATGAAGAATACTATCCATTATGCACACAATAATCAGCAATAACGTGGATATTTTTCATTATTCCTAATTGCTGACAAGCTTTCATGTACAATCGTGTAAGAAATGATAATTCTTTGTGGATTTTCAAAAAGCACACTATGCCTCAACATATACCTATGAAGTTATTTCAAAGAATCTTCGGGAATTAATCTTCTTGAGAAGGTTTTTTATAGAGTGCAATAACATGTGAAATCTATACTATCAAATGCGAAATAAATAAAGTTTAAAATCCCCCTATCTAAAATACCAAAAATTCTCTTTGGTCCAATTAAAGTTATGTTTCCGAAAAGTTCCCGGGAAATCGGCTTCAAAAAAAAAGAAAAACAAATTTCCCTTTCTTATATAGATAGTTCAATTATAACAAGACCTGGAATAACATTTCAATTATAACAAGACCTGGAATAACATTTAAACTTGACATCTTACTTTAAAATACTTACTTCGTAATTGAACTCGGAATGTTGGGAAAGTTGTTTGATTGGTATTACTTTCGTGATTATTTTATCTACAAAAGAATATAAATAGTATCATCGTCAACATTATCATCATCGTCGTCATCCATTTCATTTTCTAATGATGTAGCCAACATCATCCCCATTTCTACTTTTAAAGGGATTTGCTGTGAACAAACCTTTTGCCTCATTAGTTGATGCCTGATAAGATGAAGTAGTCAGGGCTAAATGCCACTCAATCATTTCAAATGGTGAACTGTTCCGCAATTGAATTATTAGTAGCGATGCTCCAGAACTCAATTTTTGCCTCTGAAATGTATGCGTTTCATAATTTGGAGGAAAAAAGAAACAACGGAAAATAATGTATATATGATCAATGAACACACACAACAAACATATATATGAATGTATTTTCCACATATATTGGTAATTACAATAAAGATTATACATTGCAATTAAATATACCTGTAATTATACATTTCATATTATGATTAAAGATTTTGTCAAATTTTTGTTAATATTTGAAACTTTACTGCTGAACTCTAAAAAATAGACCAATATATAATAAGGTTAGCTTTGTTCAATTGTATACAAGGGTAGAAGTAGATGGAAGTACAATAAGCTCATGTTATAATACACCAAATGAAAGAAATGATAATACCTTCAAAGCAATATGTAATGGAAAATTCCTCCTCTCTGAGGCGCATTTATCCATCTCGGCTTGCAAACGTACTCCGAAGGATAACTGGAGAAAAACAGTTTGGAAAAATTAATGTTCAATTCATTCATCTTAGCATCTTCATGAAGGAAAGTAAAGAAAGATACGTTCAAGCTTAAAGACACATCAGTCTCTTTTCATTCCATTCGTTTTAATAATTAAAAAACTTCAACTTCGATAAAATTGTGGGACAGAATCTTCAATATTTCCTCTACCTCGTTCAACAAAAAACGGAAACTTTCGCCACCAATACTTTCAATTGATTACCTGAGAAAGAATGAAGAGTAGCTTTTATAGGATAGATAGTTTAGCTTAATCTCCTTACCTGCATCGCTAATCGATCCACTTCGGCAATGCGCTTCTTAACTTCTTCATACTTTTGTAATGTGTCACCCATAACCTGGGCACAACGACCAACCGAAAGGACATTCCCTGACCTTGGCTCTAACTCCTGATCATCTTCGCTAGAAACCGTTCTGCTCCCAGCAGCATCTAAACCCATATTATCGATGCTTTCTTCATCGATATCTTCCGGAAGTATGAAATCATCCATACCGAAATATTTACAGGACTGCTAGCAGCAATCTGAAACCTGATTCATATCATAGATACATCATGCTTCCACTTGAGTTCCAATTTCCCACGACATTAAAATACTTCTCTACATCAGCTATAGCAATAATATCAAAAGTTGATAGAACCCTAATTGGGGAAAGTAAGCTCATTATGATTACTCTGGCAGTTGTCACTAGATTAACTTCTTCTGGATGAAATGCAAGATACACTTTCATCATTAAAAAATTTATCACAAATTTTAACAACCGAACAAATAAAATGATAAAAGGCGAAAATATTGCAATTTTAAGGAATTGGAAGACTAATGCTACGGATGGAAATTTGACTTATTTACATCGTTACACCAGAGAACATCGTATCATACAGAAACTTAATTTAGGTTATACCAATAAAAGGATAATTTTTTCCTTAATATAAAAATGTAAGTTAGTACTACCCTAGCTTAAAAAGCTTAAAGATGTAGAATATTGTCAGATGTTTCGAACAAATCAAGCTACCAAGCTACTATTTGCTAACCCAAAATCGACGGAGAAGAAAAGAAAAAAACCTACAAATTTACATGGTAGAAAAATAGTAAACAGGATCAACGAACTGGAAGAAATAATTATGTTAGCCGGATTTATTTCTAGGAAATATCGAATTTTAATATAAACTAAAGCGAGAAGGCTCAGAGAAAAACTGCATAGTTAACAACTCAATCAGCAGGAAGCCAATTTAAACATTAATGTTAAAATGTCCTTTAGAATAAGATTTAGGATTCAATAAAGAAAAGGGCTTAACAAAAGCTTGTAACGCCACCTTATATCAAATGTCTGGTTGCGTTTAAGGTGCTGCCGGGTTGTACACACAATGTATATATAACAAACAGGGATGCAAACTTTGTGAATCCTTTCATTTCTTTTTGTTATAGACAGAATATTCCAAATTATACAACTGTTCATACACCCTTTCCAGTTCTGCGTTCTTTCTTGCAAACTGTTGAATTTTCCTTAAAATCAATTCGCGCCGCTCCCGCAATTTCGATATTGCAACACAATCACCATAAAGCTCGATAACCAAAGTAGCCAACTAAAACTAACTTCGATTGTTTCAAATCCTTGAAATTTGCACAGCAATATAATTTCGAGGAAGAATTTAATAAATGCCTATATTTACCGCTTCAACATCGCCCAAACTGAGGATTATTTCCAAGATTTCAACAGCTAACAATGAAAGTTTATCTCTATCCTGCTTGTAGATATCTTCCAGTCGACCCATCACCACTTCATTTTTTTCCTCAATTATTTCCATGAATTCTTTAGTACCACTATACAAACTGTCATTTGATTGCACGCCACCATATGCTACATGATACGGTAATTCCGCTTGATTCATTACTGAGAGATAACAAATACATTCTAATAAAACATGCCCGTGCTCCAACGATTCCTTTCGCCAAGGATACCTTGAGAATTTTAAAATCTGTTAATAAATTGGTAACCACAAAATTCAATAATAAACTTTCATAAAAACTAATCTTATGAAATGCAAAATTCCAAAAGTTCATCAGTAAATTCCCTGCAATAATTCCGGACTGTTTCTGATGATGAAATTGGAGACATACCTGGCAATAGCGTTCAAAAATGCGTTAAACATGTACAAAGGATTCTTGTTCGGAGGATCAGGAACTAATACCAAAAACGCAAGGAACGAGGAACAGAGGGAGCGGTAAACTGATACCTTAAGGTCATGAGCCACTGCCAGCACTTCGATCGAACACTTCAAGATCGCATCTGCCTACAAAAACACTTAACATTTTCAAGATAAGAAGTAGCACTCTTTTAAAAACAATGTATTGAAGACAAAAGTTCATATTATATGCACAAGAAAGTATCGCAAGAAGAAATTTTACCAAACTCGTCGAATTTTACAATAAATATTACAATAAAAACTATTCAAATGTTAATAATTCTAAAGAACGAACGACATTTACTTATTTCAAACCATCTTCATCAAAAATGAGTGATATTCGAATTCACATTAGAAAAAAAGAACTAACTTGTGGAAGTGAATTGCTGGTCAAGCTTAACATTCCAGCTTGGATGTACACTTCAATTTTGGTTGCTGAACTAGATAATGATGCTGTTGTAATAAAGGCATATGCTATACAACCTCGTAGAAATGTTTCACCCGCATGAGAAATCTTTTCCTGACGAACTACATGCAAACCAAGACAGCATACTTTTGTGGCAAGATACTAAAATTTATTTAATTACAGAATTACAAAAAAATTACTGGAAAGATAATGGAAATCTGACTCTAAAATGACTACGGTCACATCCGAAATCATAACTTAAGTTTAAAGTCAGTAATTGAAGGCGTTCAACTTCCAGTGGAAGACGAAAACTTGTCGAGAATCATCATGAATTTTTAAAACGAAGGGTTCCTGATGGAAGAATTAAGTTCTGCTCTACTTAACACGGAAATCCGACATACAGCAATGACGCTATCCAGATTCGATAAAGCAGCACGTGCATCGACAAAAAAATCAAGTGCCCGTTCTGGATCTGCTTCTAGCTTGAATCGATCCAAAGCACGGATGATGTAAAAGCTAGCACGCTGTTTTTCTTCGTCTGTTGAAAGGGCACTTAAAGAATCATGAAGCATCTGGCAAATATCAAGTATCTAAAAGACTCCAAAATTCGTGAATATTTGACCAAATAAGTAACAACTGAATTTTTTGAGTGACTTTAATTCGATCAAATTCAAATTTTAAATTGAAAAGTTGCAAAATGAAACTCAACACAAAGATGTGCTCAATTTTTTGCGAAAAATTAAACTTATAGATGAGTAAATGAAACCTAACACTATAATAACTCTTACATTTGTTGATTTTCAATTTTCGTTGTATTTTAACTCGTGATTATTTCAGATAATAACTAACTTGATTTGCAAGCTGGAAATCATTGATTGATGCTAACTCACAGGAGCGTATGAAAGAAGATAACACAATGACAGCGCAATCACCGCGCTGTTGCGCACCACGGAATAAATTCACTAATTTTTGAAAGTGATGCAATACAACTAAATCTTTCACCTCATCAATCCAGTGCGTAATTTTTTCCAAAATACACAACAGTTCATCCATGAAAGCTTCGTATTTCTGCAAAAATTTTCGCCTTTCTTTGAAGCATAACATCAATCGCATTCAAAGTAAAATACCGAGTCACAAATTCAATCCACATAACTGTGCACTCAATAAAATCGCGCATTCTTATACAATTTGACTAATAGCTAAAAGACAATCCATTTTGCATGCAGACTAGACAAAAAATATACGGAGACCGAAATGAATAGGATAATTCTTATGATCTAACACTGACTTACACAGAAATGGTTCGAAGCAAACCTTTTCAGGTGTAATTCGTTTTATGATTATTTCCAGCATAACATCAATCTCATTCAAAGTAAAATACCGAGTCGCAAATTCAATCCACACAACTGTGCACTCAATAAAATCTCGCATCCTTATAAGGTGGCTAAATGAAATCATGTATAGACGTACACTTGTTAAAAATATGTTATTTTCAAGAGAGAGTTAGGAATCGAAATTTCAGTCTTCTGAAGCTTTTTTTTTTGTAATTTTCGATGAATCGGATAAAATTGAAACGAATTCACAATACATCAACACCATGGAAAACATACATAACTTTTTGCCAACAATTCTTCAAAATGACTCGTCTTAGCTCGTCTCTGATATTATTTTCCATCAGTCTTCTACCAAGAACACAAAGTTCCATGCAATTTACGTTCTCATCAGCAACTACCTGAAACTACCAACATGAAAAACGATGAATATCTCTATCAGCTGTACCAGCTGCACTGTACCAGCACTTAACTTTGATTGTAGCATGACCCAAAAAGCAGGGTTTATTATTTCTGGATCTTCGGCATAAACTTTCGTGTTGATGAAGCAACCATTAAACCATTCATCCCAATACATTCATTGAATATACTGTTAGTAGAAAAGCTCTAATGATTCCGGGAAAACTGAATCAAAAAAAAAAGTCTTGAAAATTATAAAAAAGTCTTCAGAAGTCATTTTTTAAAGCTCAACAATACTTTTAAAAACTCATTACAAATCATTTGTTCAACAGCATTAGGAGAAGTATAAAAATACCTTTTAGATATCTCTTATTGTTTAATCTTGTCACTTGAAGAAACAGGTAGGAAGTCTGTCAGAAATCTGAGATTAAGTAAGGACAACACTAGGAATGAGTGGAAAAAGAGACAAAGAAAAAATGAATATATGTTGCTTAGAACACTTGACAATTCCTGGTAACTTTTAGATAAATGAAAACATTAACAGCTGCCATTTTTGGTGTTGCACAGCTCACTACTCACATTTAAAAGCAAAAATATTAACTACTAAGTTCACCAACCAGTTTACAAGCATCTAAAGCGTGTTGCGAGAGATAACCAGAAGGTACTGCAAGCAAGAAGGGAAGTAAAAATGTGGATCGTCTTTCCTTATCTGCGCATAGACTCCAAATGATCCCTAACTCGTCGTATGTTTCAGCATTATACGCCACGCACTGAATGATCCATTCTAGGGCTGGCATTAGTGCTGGCATCTAAAATGAATAATGGTGACAGCATTGACGAAGAAGTGATTTCTTCTGGCAAGTTAAGGTTGTATAAATTATTAAAAATAAAAAAATTATAACCATATAATTGGTTTCTATTCACCAGAAAAACAAGCTCAGATTTGAACAATTAATCCGAAGATTCACTGTGAGGTAGTCATGATTGTTTATTAATTACCACTTATTTAATTGCCTGATTACTTATTTGCCATGGACAATCTGACTACTTGACCCTTGGATAGCTACTTGACATTATTATTACTTATTCCAAAATTAGATGAAAGAAGTGAATGCAAAGTGCTAATTCAGACTTTATTTTAGGTTTGATTCGAGGACTTCATTTCTAGATAATAATGCAAAATGAACGACAGTTCAAAATATTTAATAGATCTCAGAGAATTCTCAGAAAAATTTCTCAGAAAAAAAGAAAAATTATTAAAGTGTTATAGGGGCTGAGAAAACCGACATGTTTTCGACATATAACAGGCAGATTCGAAAGTAATCCCTCAGAGCACTAATTAATTTAGAAATCATAAGCAAATTTCTGGTTAGTAATATGCAAAAACTTCCATTTTGAAATGCCCTAGGAACTGAGAAAACCGACATGCTCCCGGGGTATAATAGGCAGACTTAAAAGTAATTCCTCAGAACGACATATTTCATTTCTACTTCAAAAAAAGAAAACCGGTTGAATCGGAACTGTATTGATCCAGTCGTTGAAACATCTCCAATGCGGTGCACGATCATTTGGAGTAAGCCGTATGGCAACACGACACAGATAAACGCGAGCGTAACATGAAACCAGGGGATTCGGTAGCGAAACCGGAATTTTTGCGAGACGTAACAAATTTACCGACAGCGATTCCGCATCGAGAAAACGGATACAACCGATAAGAGCAGTTTCCACTGCAATAGGCCTTTTTTACATAAACTAATAGCTAATGAAAGGAATGATAAAAGAAGCAATTTGTAATAGGGATACCAAATATACTGAAGTATGGGCTAAGATATCAGGAATTTTCTAAAATTTAAGTAAAGAAAATGGAACTGATCCATATGCTTGAACACTTTAAGACTGAATTCAGTGTCCGAAATGTTAATTACAAATAGCTAACCGTAAAAGCGTGGTAGGAATTCAGTAATATCACCAATTTTACAAAACCAGTTTCTTGCAACATCACGTGTTTGCTTCGGTACGTCATCTACTGCAAAATTGTCTGGCAATCGATTTAAACCCGCTTCGGCACGTTCACTGTTTGCTTTGGTATATAAGCGATCATAAACTAGAAATCCAAACTCGTCCAAAACATCTGTTACGAGGACGAATTGACGTGGATAGATATTAGTTGCTGAAGCAAATCCAAGAATATTTGCAACTTCTACTGCTATCTGCAAAAAGTATAGTTTTAACTCCTTCTACAAGGTGTTGATACGAGATGCTCGATGAAAGTATAAAGAGAACTTCGGAATTAAAAAGTAAAGGTGGAACAAAGTAAAACAAAACAAACATTAACAGATTCAATTTTCTTCTCTTTGGCCCAAGCTATTTCCAAATTTTTGCGTAATTCGTTGATCTTAATCAGATTTTCTTCCTGTGACTGTTCAGCTAATTTTTTCCGTCCTGACACGTCCTCCAGTTCTTCCAATCTCAAATTTTCTGATTTGTAGATGTATTTAAATCACCTTGGGAATTTATACTAAATTTACTATCTTTACTATTAAAAGACTTTTAGCTGCCAGAATCTATGGAAGTTTTCGATTTTCATTATTTCAATCCAATTGACTTCATCAATAAATTGAAAAGGAACTGAGAACAATGCAGTATTATGTCTCACACTAATTTACACTTATCAGTAAATTACGGTATATGCTTTAGATATAAGACAACTAGAAATATTTTTTTGTACATTTGAAAAAAAAGAAAAAACATCCAACAGAGGAGTTGTCAACAGAAAAACAGAACTTAGTTTTTAATAAAAGAGAACAGATCCCTATAACAGTTTCTCTTTCTTGACGTGGTGGATGTACAAGTGAATTTTGCTGATTACAAGAAATTTGAAATGTTTATCAATTTGTCTTAAAGATTTGTCGATTTGTTCGATTTGTCCTGTAGAGAAAAAAAAAGAAAACTGAAAAAATGGTAATAAAAAAAACCTTTGCGCCGCACGTTTAACAAATGATAAATCACTTTTTTTCAAGTCTGGAACACAGTGTAAATATGAAATCTTTGAGTCTTCCGTATCCGAAAAAGATTTTAATATATCCTGCTTTTTCGATGACCAAGGTATAAAACCAGGTAGTTCCTGGAAGTAGAGAAATTCAAAAAGGAAAATCAGTCATTTCAGTAATTCATATACTTTATCCTACTTAACAATTGCTGTTTAACGAAGTACAACTTTTCAAGCAAACATATCCAATTAAACGGTGCTTTGATACTTATCGTCATTTGGGAATAGATTATATTACAAGCGCTACCTTTTCAGTAATTATTTCATCTTCTTTGCTAACCAAAGTATTAGCTAATTTCGGTTCTTCTTTCCGTTTTGAGATGATTGGTAAGTCTTTTGATGTAAAAACTGCGTTGTTTTTGCGATCCTCCATAACAGCACCTGAAACCAAAATATTAGATTGGTATTACCAGAGACAATGCCGTCTTAGAATGTTTAATAATAAAACTAAGAATTATTCTATAGTGATAGTGCAACCTAAATAAGATCAGTTGACATCAAAACTTAAATATATCTTCCAACGCTACCTAATGTAAGGAATTATTGAAAATTTCTGTTTAGTGATCTAACTCCTAAACGCTTAATAGTAGGAGTGAATTAATTTTAGCACAGACAAACCTAAGGGATCAGCAAATTCGGGAAGTTCCGACTGTTTAACTTCTGGTGTTTTCTCTTTATCAGTTCTCTTCTTTACTGTTACCAGCGGGTCGATAAGAACTACCGCCCTGCTACATGCCCAGGCTTGCGCTTCTCGTTGCCATGAACGATGACGAGCCTTCCATTTCCATGTAACTAACGAGTCACTGAATAAACCATCCTTCATCCCTGAATGAAATATGCAGTTATTCACTTCATAAACTGGGAAAAATACCACAATCAAGAAGGAATGCACATGACTAAAGAACGTACATCAACTTTAGGTTACAAGCAAGACGTTCCGTTGGCGCCAATAATCCACGATTTAGTAAGGTTCGAAGACTAATAAAATTTATACCGTGATAGATTATCGACTGCTATAATAGATGCCAAAGCCCAGGTGATCGTCAATTCCATGAATCTCGCTTACTGTAAGTTTAAATTCCTTGTTCACTACATCCTCAATCTACAATTGAAAATCGTGCGAACTCGAGCTGACCCAATGTTCAAGTCCTCTATTTCTCACAACAAAGGAAGTAATCCTTCCGTAATAAACATAACACTATCAACCGATTTACTACATCACACTCTCAATTTGCTTTATATGCTTTCATGGAATTCAGCGATCTTTTTTCAGCATCCGCTTTCAGAGAACCTTATCCTTGATTCGTTCATTCTTTTGTTCTAACCCTCGTAGTGAGAAAAGTACCGACTTTTCCCTTTTTTTTAGAAAACCTCGAGTAGTAATAATGACAGCAAATTTCAGAAAATTTAGTAAATTTCGGTTTAGTTTAACGTCAAACTCAAACTAAATCTTCCAGAGATACATTACAATTATTTGTTTCAAAACAACAGGCCTGAAATATCGCCATTGATAATATGAATTTTATTCTGTTCGTACGGCACAAATACAAAAATCTATTACAACTAACATTTTAATAATTAATCCTCGAGTTTTTCGTGCAATAAAAAGAGATGGATTAATAAATACAATCATTCCTGTCTTAGGAATACAAATCCCAAATCCGAAATTTGCATTCCCAATGCAAGGAATAAAAAAATTTCAACGACAAAAATCTTGCATGTATTTAAAAACACTAAAAAATTTTCGTAGCCTTCTATCCGATCAATCCTTCCAGCGGTCGTTTTCGTAGTCGTACAACGTTGCTGCGCCTTCAGGAAGTGGTTTTTCCAATATTAGTATCTTTTGCATTGCTGCATGCTTCCATTCATCGCTCAATGTGGGTACCTGCGGGGGATAACCTGAAAAGATGATTGGAAAAAAAAGAGAAAAAAGTCTAAAAAATGGAAACGCTACATATCGACTGCCAATTCACGGAAAACAGTAAAGTTTGACTGCAGGAAGTAAAAGGCTCGAATTTGAAATTAAACTCCCTAGGAAAGATGTTTTAATGCATGATCATTTTGTTATAGAAAATGAGCAAAATAGACACAACAGTATAAAAGAGGATGTAAGCATCATTAATAATCTATTGCAATTTTTGCTGAATAATCTATTGCAATTAAACCTTTGTGGTGAAAGAGTCAGTATAATTCAATTTTTTAATTTATAGTCTTGATGCTCAAGAGACTTGCGATTAATGAGTCATAAGTTATAAAAATATAGCGTAAAGATTATTAGAAAACATACTGAAATGTCTAAGCAGGCCTACTACTCCAAGACCAATTGATGACCAGATCAATGCATAGGCGAGATACATTTTCCAGTACACATTCCAGCCCAACAACTCAGCTTGTGTTCGTCGGAACGAATATCTATACAACAGTTTCTTCTCTTCCATTGTCAACTTTTTCCAGTCACCTTTTTCCTTTTCACGAATCGGTTTGATGATTTCATCATCGGCTCGGAATCTCAATGGTGGATACGGACGATCTGTTGAGTCAATGAAATGCTGGAAGAAAAAGACAAATAAACTATGCGAATGATCTGATGAAAATGAGAGAGAGTTGCTACGCTTTATGAAACAGAAAATAAGCCATAAGAAAAAATGGAAAAGCTTGGCAAAAAATAAAATCAATCATTTTTTTCTCAAATATTGTCGGAATCAATCTGAACAAAAAACGGACGACAAAATTACGATTTTAAAAATTAAACTGAACACGAAAAGTAGTAGTGATTTAAATTCAGCGCTCCAGATTTGAAAACTCACATATCCACCGCTTGATGGTCCAACAATTTCTCGTTGACCGATTCGTTGCTTTTGCCAGCAATATTCATTGTGATGTTTTGCAGATAAAAGAACTGCATGACGTACAATATATGGTGTTGACTTGGACTGCACAATAATAGAACTACGTACAAGGGTCATTACCTGTTAAAAAAGAACTCAATTGTCTGAAAAGTGACTTTAATAAGCAGTGAAATATTTAATGCACCTGTGATTAATCAGTCAGTCAACAGATATCATTACAAACAGCTACGCAATAAATGAATAAGTCTGAGCACGATCAATAAAATTTAGCAAAATCCATTGGGGGGCATTTTCTCATTTCATAAAAATTCCAATTCAAAATCCGGAAATCAATGTTTGAGTAATCACTAAGTACCATATAACGAACTTGAGACCTGCGAAGAGACTGAAATCAAATGGTTAACACTGCTTAAAATTCATCAAGCTCAACGGAAGCGACTACATGGCAAGAGAAAAAGCTAAAATGTTTTGGCATAACTCGACTGTTCGTAACTTCACATGAATCCAATCCTTGCCCTGAATGCAGCATGAATACATCTATAATATGGGACATCTCTATTTACGTCAGTAACACTATATAATTGAAGTGGCAAGTGGAAATTGCGTTAATAGCACCATTATATATATTGAATATTGCCAGTAAATCGTGTGATTTCCTGATTCCTTAGTGAAATTTATACAACTACATGATAAAACGCCAGTATACGTAGAGCTAAAAGATCTATATGATTATATCCCGACGTGTTAGAGGAAATACATTACGCAATCATATGAATCATCTAAGCTAACATCAGAAATTTACACGATTTACTATTTCCTCCGACATATCGGGAATAAATCCCTCACACTTGGTAGCATTATTTTTAATGTAACCTGCAAAACACCTCCAAGGGAATTCTTGGAACATCCTGTCCTTCCCGGGTAATCTCCAAAACAACCTGTGGGATGCGTTGTGTTCGCAGAATTTATAGTAAAATACATGGCTAGTGTGAAACTGAAGTATCTCAAGATTATTGTTAGACAAAATTCTGCTAATATATCTTTTGTTTTTATGGTCGAATGGTATTGGGATCTCCTTGGGAATAGTCCGGGGAAGTTACATTAGTCCAGTTTTCAGCTTAATTGCTTTGTGTAAAGATCGATCTTGTATTTCATTTAATTGCTTTCTTTGTGTTTCTGTTATTTCGTTTGTGACATTTCCATGTTGGTTATTTTACATTTTTCGTTTGCCAAAAATTTCGTTAATTCTCCACCCCTACTCATTTATCTTTTTTCTTATTTTTGGAAAGTCCGGAAATTAGGCTTATTTATACGGAATTCGAAGGCTTACTTCGAAGTCCTAATAAAAACCATTCAAGATCACTCATTACGTTAAAGCAAACAAAATTTTTCCAGAAGTATTTTTAAACCTTCCAGAACTGTTCTCATTTCAAATCAAATGACATAATATTTTCAATAATATCCCATTATTTTAGGTGCAACGGATGTTGGGTGCTAGCAGTAGTGGTAATGGCGGTGTCGCGAATCCGGAGTTACTTCAGGAGGTCCGTTTGTATGAGAATAGCGTAGAACGTGAACGGGTCGACAATATGAGCGAATTATACGCTGTCTTAAATGCCTTGGAATGTTTAGAAAAGGTCTTTAGCCGTGACTGTATTGCTGCTAAGGAATATACTGCGGAATGTTCGAAGCTTTTGGTGCAGTATAAGGTTGGTTGAATTAATTAAGATGTGAGTTAAAATTCGAAAATTTTGATAGATTCCATCCAGATATGTTATAATTTTATTCACTATTCTGTGTGGTGCTCAAAACTATGCTTCAGACATTTGAGAATTAAAATCAACATTTCGGAAGTTGAATCAAATTGTGTCAATTTAGGTGTAATTCTGACTTGAATTATATTCCACATTTTATTCATTGCTCATTGCCACTCTTGACATGTCGGATATTTGATAATTTGTTCATCTATTTAGATATCGGTTCGATGGAACTATAATTCATGTTTTTTAATGAGCCCTAGTATTACGATAATTTCACTCTTCACATATTCGTTCTTTTCTTTGATTTAAATTTGGAAAATATGAATAATCTGTCGTTGGAAAGAATCCGTGAAGATCGGCCAATTACTGTAAAGGATGATAAAGGCAATACATTGAAATTCATTGCGGAGATTGTAGCAATTTCACCGCTTTCTTGAATCAGCTAAAGTTGGATGTTTAAGCTTCATGAGCTTTTCTTTCTTTATTTTTTTATTTTTTCTATATTAATTCAAAACACCTCATTCTAATTTTTCCCATGTAACTCAGATTTGTTAGCCGCTATATCAGGTGCTAAGTGATGTACGGTATAGGCAGTGCATTGTGATGTAGGAGACAGATCTAAAATGCATACACGTTTTACATGGATTATATGAGCAATGTTGGATGTAATAGTTATCAGGAAGATCTATTATAAATTCAAAAAAAGGGAATATTATAAGCTAAACAGATTATTCATATTCATAAATTTAAATCAAAGGAAAGATTGAAAATGTGAACAGTGAGATTGTCTCATTAGTTCTAGGGCTTATCATTTCAGTGACTTGATATTTCAATAAAATCTTAATTTAAAGGTAGCACTGAGATTGGTACAGTGCGATATCGATGAATTCGTGAAGAAATACCGCGTGGAGTGTCCAGCAGCGTTGGAAAGAATTCGTGAAGATCGACCAATTACTGTAAAAGATGATAAAGGCAATACATTGAAATGTATCGCGGAAATTGTAGAAATGTTCATCACTTTCTTGGATCAGCTAAAGTTGAACGTTCGAGCCGTTGATGAGCTATTTCCAACATTGAATGAACTGAACGTTTCCATAAGTTCAATGATTACATTGCCGGATAATTTCGATGCTAAGCTCAAGGTGGAACACTGGTAAGGAATTGTCTTCATTGATGAACATTTACGCCAAATTACATTAAAATATTTATGACCGTAAGGCGTGTTCCAGAAGTTTTAAGCGAATTAAGAAAATTTGTATTACAAATGAGTAACTAAGTTTCAGACCCACTACCAAGTAGTTATTGTAAAATAAAGTAAGTACTTTAGAAAAATTGTAAGATAAGTACTTAGGAAGTTTAACTGCTGAGGAATGACTTTGAAAAGGCGGGTTTGAATAGCCTTGGTAATATTATTTCAGAAATTTCTAAGGTAGACTTGCCACAAGTATTTTCAATTGATATATATCACTGCTTAATCATTCCTGGTGGTCGTGGTGATGTTAAGTCAGGATTTTGCTAAATCTAAAAAAATTGAGAAATTACTCAAGTCTTAAATTGCGAGTGATTCGGAAGGCATTTGTCAAGTTATGAAGTGTTGAAAAGTGCTTTACAATGAAATTCATTATCTGCAGGCACGATAAGCTGAAAAATATGAGCGCAAGTGAGGAAGTAACGGATGAAAATGCACGACAAATGATTTTCGACCTCGAGACCGCCTATAATTCTTTCACTCGTTTCTTACATAATTCGTAAAGTGCTCATTCGAACTTTGTTTCTGATGGTCTTGTCAAACTTGGATTTGTCACGTGCTACAGACTTTCCCTTTTTGGAATCATAAACACATGGTTGTATTAAATAGAATGCTTCACGATTAGCATTGTGAATCTCTTTCAGAAGTTTCTTCCTCTTCGTTTCGGTATATAATCACACTTCAACTGAAATAAATGTATTCAGGCAATTTTCGCAATAATTCGGATAAAACTTAGCTGTTTTCGGAAAATGTGTTCGAGGTTTTTTAATGTCATTGGTGAAAACCTCACGAAGATCTAAAAAGTTTAATGGAAAAAGAAAAGTTTCCACTTCATCTAATAAGAATTCCCTTACATCGTAAAGCAAAATTCTTCCAACCTTCCCTGTGATTTCCACTACCTAATGTGGCGGTAATATCGTAACAAATCCTATAATTTGATCTGATTTTTACTATTTCTAAAATTTAACTCTGTGAAACAAGACAGTTCTTAGCTAGCATTAAAAACCACTTCCTGAAAGCTCAGTTTTCTCATTTCTCTGAATAAGACCATTTATTTAGTATATATATATATATATATATATATATATATATATATATATATATATATATATATATATATATATATATATATATATATATATATATATATATATATATATATATATATATATATATATATATATATATATAT